GGCCCATAGTCATAGTCGTAAGTTAAAACTCATTCCTGTTAAAATAAAGTTTTAATTTTAGAATAGATTTTTAAGTTGTGTCAGCCATAGACATCTTAGAAACAGATTTTGGTTAAGATGAAACAGAGCACAGCTATCCATATGAAGAGAAAAAACTTACTCGGCAATGCAAAGAAATTTTAGTACTTTATTTAGTCCGCTGCAGGATTGCGAATTTAGCAAGCCGGGAAGTCGTGGGTTCGAATCCCACTGCCAGGAAATTTTTTTTACATATTTTTTTTTTGTTCTTTTAAATACTAGTTTAATTTGTTTATGTAATTATAGTTGTTGTGACCTTTTTAATTAAAATTAAACTCCAAAAAACTTGATTACCTTGAAACCATTGCACTGGATCACAAATTTTAGTTTTGTTTTTGTTCTCCAGACGCCACTGTCCAATTACTATGTCGAATCGCTCGGTGATTGCGAAAAAGTAAATTTTTTTTTCTATGGATACGTTTTTGAGATATTTGCAATATACCGTTATTCAGCTTAAAACAAAGAGTGGTTCCACTTAATCACGTATACGAACCCATTGAACAATTCGTTCCGATATAAATTGGGCTTTAAAGAGCAGAAATTTGTACTACCATCAGGATTCGATTTTAAGTGAACACCTTAATCTCTATGTGTAAAACTAATAATAGATTGTTGCTTACACAATATGTTAGTTTTTGGCCGAGCTTCCCCTCCAATTTGTCGCGTGCGCTTTTACATTGTGCCACAAAGGGGGTCTCTACAGTTTTATGCCGACTCTGAACGGCGATTACATTTTTATGAGAACCTGTTTTTCGTGGCAGAAATACACTCAGAAGTTTGCGCAAGTCTAATCACTACACCACAGCGGCCTGCATACGAGACCAATATTCAGAGAAACTTTTTGGAATTTCGGATTCAATATTTGGGATATCGAGTCTTTTTACCCCGATATTGATAGGTACCCGATATTTTTACAGCGAAACAAGTTATCGCGATTGGGTTTTCACTCAACTTTTCTGGAATGGATTAATTCCTATCTGTCCGATAGGTGTTGTACAGTTGCTTTTGATAACATACTCTCCACTCCTTTTGTAGCTACGTCGGGTGTTCCCCAAGGCAGTATCTTGGGCCCTCTTTTATTTGTCTTATTCATAAATGATATTGGATCATGCTTCCAGTCTTCTAAGTATTTATTATATGCTGACGATCTAAAGGTTTACTCAGTAATCAGAACCTCACAAGACTCTCTTTTGCTGCAAGCTGAGCTTAATAACCTGCATTCTTGGTGCTCTCTTAATTCCTTATCTTTAAATGTTAGTAAATGTTCCTACTCCACTTTCACCAGAAAGCTTCTTACCGTTCAAACTAATTACAATATTGGGGGCCATGAACTTAGTTATGTCGCAGAGGTTAAAGACTTAGGGGTTTACTTCGACTGAAAATTAACCTTCGCAACCCATATTAACTGCAATGCAATGCTAGCATTCGTACGTCGTAATGGTCAGTTGTTTAAGGATCCCTATACTCTGAAGCTTCTTTATGTCACGTTAGTGAGATCTAGGCTTGAGTATGCGTCTTTCATTTGGCGTCCCTATCAGGCTGTCTATATAAACCGGATTGAGAAGATTCAAAAATTTTATTAAATTTGCCTTGCGTTCTCTAAAATTTTCTGAGCCTATACCTCCGTATACTTCCCATTGTCAACTTATTAACTTAAGTTCGTTAAATACTAGGCGTTCTTTCCTAGCAGCCTCTTTTGTGGCCAAAATATTGGAGGGCACAGTCGATTGTCCTAATCTTTTGGATAAGTTAGCATTAAACGTCCCGTCTCATAATTTGCGTCGTGTTTCTTTATTCTACCTGGGATTTCCTAAAACGCCTTTGTTCAGAACCCTTTCTGAGCTAAATGAGCTCTCTGAATATGACCCGTCTCTCTCATTTGGAACAGTTCGTTTTGTCCTACTTAATTATTTTAGGTAGTATATAAGCTCTCTTGTTTTATAGTCAGTAAGGATTTATTCCATTTGATTAAATAAATAAATAAATAAATGAGTATCATATTCATACACTTGGTTCGATATCGAGTCCCTAGTTGTATTTCCTTTACTCAAAGTACTGGCACACGTTTTTATGAACCATACTGAATTTTTCGTGTTTTTGGAATGACCATTATCTATTCTGCATTGGTAATAAACATTTTATACATACATATGTACATAAAATTTCTCTAATTTTTTAAACCCTTTCCACATTCTGTGCTCTCTAGTAACCGGTAAATTTTATTACCACCTCATGAGCTCGCAACAAGATAGTGCCGCATAAAATATGCAATAGCAGTAATCCATAGCTGAATTGCTGAATAAATTTTGACAGCGTTACCACTGTACCTAAAATTTTGGTTACATAAAGTGGTAAGATTTTTTGGTGCAATACATTTTCTTGGAGAAATATATATGTACATATAGCATTTTTTTCTTCAGAGAGTTTTTTGATCATCAAAATGCGTGCGCTGTTTATTACTGTACCTGTAGTGATTCTACGTCCATAATAAATAAATACTAACACCAAAATAAATTTAATTAAATTGAAACAACTCAGTTCATGTAATTATATTTATTTATATATTTTTTTAATTTTCCAGCATTTGCGCTCCATGCAATGATCTCAACCCAAAAATTATCCTCATGCTTATCAGACATTCCATTCGCTTGAAAATATATACGCCACAATGGCAATCGAAATTATCGTTTGCCAAAAGCGGGCTTACAAGATTTTACAATTTCCATGCTTCAAAAGTTTTATGATTTTATGTTTTGCAATTTAACCAACTTCGTATGCATACAATCAGCGATTACTTTTCCTCTTGTGGGCTTGTGTAACTCATTTTTTTTTTAAATATTGAGTTTGCAAATTTTTAACTCGTTTTTTTTCTCTTACTGTGACGCTTTCAATTACTTACTCATATAATGAATATTTGTTTTTTCACTGTTGCTTTTATTTATATTTTTTGCGTACATAAGTTACTCTTTTTGTTTGTTTTCCACTTTTGGGGTACTTTGAAAACAAGGAGTTGAAGAGCATGTTAAACTATGCATTATGTGTTTATTATTTATATTGGGGACTTTAGTTATCATATTTTTTTTAATAATTTGTAATAATTGCTAACACACATATTTTAAATTTTTTTTTAACATACTCCATGCATTCAAGTAAGCCTATATACATAGTACAGACATAAGTATAGTTATAAAACAAATAAACAATTAATATTGGTTTCTTTTCTTCTTTTTTTTTGTAACTGTAATGCACATTCTTGGATATATAATTAAACAAAGCAACTCAGCTTAACGCGACACAATTGACTGACTGACCGGCACGCTGACTGACAAATCAATGAACTTATAATTTAAGGTATTTAAATACTATACAATACATTCATTATAAGCTTAATATTTAGGTACACATTTTTTACTAAAACTAAATAAATACAATAAACATGAAATAAATTAAAAATTATAAACTTTTTTAAAGCTAAAATATTCTTTTTCGTTTGCTTTTTTTACTTGCTTTTCGTACGCCTTGGGCACACTTGGTCTTTGAAAATGTATGTATGTAGTGTTTTCACACAGTAAAACACATTGCATAAATACTTTCAATTATCCGTTGTTGCTATACACATGCCTACATTTATTCATACATATGTATATTTATTAAGATCTCATTATTCAGGTTCCGTATTTTTAATGGACTTTAATTGCGGGCGCTAAAGTTTCTAGTTGAGATTGAATTAGACGGGCCGATTCCATTTTAAATTATGCACATATTTGCATTTTTACGTTGTTGAGCAGCTCTTGTATTTGTTGTGGTTCTACAATTTTGTTCGAAAAATCTATAACGCATCCCGCGAAAGCTTTCGAGGCCAGCGACAACTTTTCTGTAACTTTTGAATTACCACCCTCTCTTGAATTTAGACAAATTGAGAAGTTACTAAAAGAAATTTAAAATATGGTTTCTAAGTTCCTACCCTCGCATTAACATTTATAAATATTTTTTTTTTCCAAGAAGACGATACTTACGCCTACTCGTTTAGTTCACTTATACATTTTTCTCTGAAAACTTGGGCGCCGAAGACTGGAAAGCACATATTTGGCAGATGCTTGACCAAAAGTTTTATATAAAACCCTCATATCAACTCAAAAGCACAATTTTCAAGCAAGAGCTTGCAAAAAGTTGAAGGAAAATAAGCCTAAGCTTTATTAAATAGAAATTACGAAAAATTCTTCCTTCAATATTCAAGATAACGGTTTTAAGTTATTTAAGTATCTTACATGATTTCCTTTATGAGTCAGACTACACCTGCCACTACAGAGTCTTAGCAAGAACGGCTAAGATTTATTTTCAAAGGTCCACAGCAGCATCCTCCAAGTACATACATACATATTTGAGGAATTCTTATGCTGTTTTTTGCGACATATTTGTCTCCTAAAATCTCAAAAAAGTATGTTTTCGAAGCAGAGAAAATAATAGATTTCACAGAAAAATACCTTTAATATATCGAAGGCTTTCACTCAATCCCCTCTATCAGCAAATTTTTACAAAGTGTAATTTCTGATTTAATAACAAATCTGAGACTGCTGCCTTCGGTCAGCATTAAAACCATTGATGGCCGTTAAGTCTTAGGCTTACTTTGCTACCAGAATCTATTTTTTTTTTTAATTCTAGGTAAGGGCATTGCATACAAGCTGTCGATATCTAAACTCCAGGAAAACCAACTTCCACTTCAAGCTTTCGATCAAAAGTTTTCACATTTCCCTACTTGCTTATTTCCATAATATACACACAACTCCGATTTCCATTAAGTTTTTACTGAGCATTTCATAACAATGAGAAATTATGATTCTCTTTTATTATTATTATTACTCTCTTTGTGGCACACGCAATCAAATTGACAAATAAATCGATAACGTTTGCTCTTTTTTTTAAAATAAATTAAATAAAATAATTTTAAGTATTTGTTTATTCAAGCGCATTGCTTACTGACCAGTGGCGTCACATGGCGCCCAATTCCAGCTTATAGTATCTATTACATAATTTTGGTCAGCCTGTTCTCTTCCGTTCGTTGCGATCTTCCACCTATAAAGCATTCATACTTCTCCTCGCCTCAGCGGGTAGCGGGTGAAGTTTAAGTGCTTTCGCAGTAGAACAGTCGCAACTTATTCAACCTCTCATTGGCTTTCACATTTTTTTGTTTGCTTTTCTTTTCTTATAAAATTACATTTTCCCATTTTTTAGTTGCATATTTTCTGTAGACGATTCGCCAGTAAAATCATATTGAACGCCAGCTAAATTGCAATTTCACAAATTTACATTTAGGTTCAGAAGCTATCTTCTTCCTCATCTTGCTCTTCTAATTCCGGCACTTCTTGTCATACCGTTGAGCCGTTAGTAAATACTTCTGGATCATCGGACCAGCTCACTTCCATCGGTGTGCCATTGAGGCTGTTGATTTTATCCAATAGCAGCACTTCTTCCAGCGACATGTGTGAATTCTTTAGCGACGAGGTCGAACCTGTGGTCGCCGACGATGTAGAGGCTGAGCAAACAATTTCATCAGACGACGCGGAACAACCTTCGTCCTCGGAGTTGGTGCCCGATACCATTGCCTCGCCTGCAGATTCTTGTATCTCATGGAATTTCTTCTTCAGATCATGCACAGATGTATGTGTGGGCAACGATTGCATATCCAGGCGCTCACCCGAATTCAATTTTGATGTATCGCACGTGATGAGCTTTCGATTGGTTGTGCTTGAAACTGACGTGCGTTGAAAAAGCGAATCATCATGTCCACCAGCCGCCAGTGTGTGCTGCTCTTCAGCGACTTCTGAGCACATCGTAGAAGTACGCGGCCGTAACGCATTCGGATGCGGTGAACTCGAACTCATCGGCTCCTTCCAATTGATCAACTCCAATTGATGCTGCTTGCGTGCACTCGAGTTGGCGTTTTGACGTAGTAGATTTTTGCCACTTTTTGTGCCTACAGAGCCGGTATTAAGAGCGCTTCCACTGGCCTGCGCCGGTTCGGTGCCCTTTACACTCACCGATTTGGAGCGTATGCGCGAGTGTGAACGATTACTGAACTCGGTGCGCACATCGCTGGAATGTGGTCGTATCACTGAAGTGGCGGACATTGACTGCGAGAGTGGATTGGGCCCGGCAGTGCTATTGCCATTTCTATATGTTGCTGCACTGCCGGCACAGTTCAGTGATGTATTCATGGCGCTAGCACAACCGGACAATTGACGGCGCGTCGAAGGGCTGCGCTCGACCGAACGGAATGAGCCAGCACGTTTTACCATCTTTGAAGCGGCTGCTTCGGGTGTTTCATCGTCCATTTCAAGCACCCACGATACGGAATCGGGCTTCTCAATTACACCTTTGACGATCGGCGATGTGGGTGGGGAGATGTCGTCCATTTGTATGTTGACCAGCGAGGAGCCGTTCATTAGCTGAGAACGATTCAGTGAACCAAGACTAGATTGAATACTGGCGTTATTGGATTCCATAGCGGAGAGCTCGTGTAATTTAGTTTCAACAATATGTAGCTGTTCGGAGCGCTGTTTGAGCTGCCATTGTAGGGCCTCGTTGTCATAGCTAAGGCGTTTGCGTTTTACCATTTCGTGGTTGTAAGCCTTTTGCTTGTCGTCGAGTTGGCGTAGGAAGTCCCTGTAAAGTAAAGAAAAAAATAGCAATTAGGTTAGTTCAAATTAACGACTGCGTATGCCTCAGTTTTTGGTTTAGCGCTACTTACTTCTCCTTCTCCGATTTAATTTCCAGCTCTGACCTTAGCATCTCGTTGCTTGATTCAAGCAATGATATTCTGCCCTGCAGCACAGCACGTTCTTCGGCATCGCGCAACAGCTCCTCATTCTGTTTGGCCAACTTCGATATCTCTTTCTGCTTCAACTCTAACACGCAATGTAAACTATCCGCTTCCCTTTGCAGTCGCGCCAGCTCCGAAGCGCTGGAATTGCGTGGCGAACTAATGCCGCTGCTGCGATCCAAGCTCTCGTTGAAGCTGCGCTGTGATGAACGCAAGACTGAAATTTCATCCTGTGATAGATTCAATTTATCGCGCAGCTCGCGCTCCCTATACTCTTTGGAGGTTCGTAACGATTCGAGTTCCTTGGTTAGCGTTTTTATGCGCCCATTCAACTGATTCTCACGTTCGGCGGCAGCTTGTAAGCGCGTAGCGTATGCATTTTCAGTGCTAGTCAGCTTATCACGTAATTTTTGCTCGGAAATCTCCAGCGCGCTGAAACGCTCTTTTAATGCTTGCTCACGTTCTACGGCTTCCACAAGTTGCTGTTGTTTCTGTGCCAGTTTATTGTCCAATTCCAGTCGATACGAGTCGAGCGTACGCTTTTGTTCCGCAGCTCTTGCCTCCAGTTGTGATTCGAGTGCTGCGACTTTCTCCTGTGCAAAGGCTTGATAATCGGCGAGATTGGCGTGTGCTGTAGAGAAAAGAGATTTGGAAAGTTAAGTAAGCCACTCCGCGGAGAAACTGTGCATGTAGGTGGCGAATTACCTTTCTCCATCTCGCAGCGATGCAACGCCTGTAGATCTTCTTCTCGCTGCAGATAATAACCCTCTTTGTCGCATAGCTGATCCTGTAGTTGTGTACAAGTAGATTTTGCTTCATCCAGTAGCTTAAGCGTCGTAGTTAAATAATCTTTAATTTGGTTTTTCTCCGCTTTGACCTTCGGACATGAGAATGCATCCAACTGCGAGAGAAGATTAAAAGATAATTAATTTATTATTTTTATGTTTCAAATAATTCGACAAATCAATTTATACAGCAGTTACTAAGCTCACCGTTGTCATTTTCATTATATCATCATCATAATCCGCGAATGCATCAGAGCTAAGCCTACTTCTTTTCCTTTTACCACCCAATTCAGTGGGATTAAGTAGCTTTTTCTTCTTCTTCATACCCAAAAACCTTCCAAACATTGTGTTTTTTTTTTTTGTTAGTTAAATATTTAAACAAAAATTCCTTAAAATTTGACAGCTGCTCAAAAATTCACTTCAAACGCTTTGCATTTTCAAAGTATACTAACTAACGCTATGCATGTCCTCGGTCTTATATAGGTACTCACTTAGCGACTAAACTCAGCAGGTAAACGTCCTTTGTTAATTACAGTGCGGCTGTTTTGAGAACGTCTTTGGATGTGTACTCAGCATTTGGCATTCAGCAGGCTGCAGGTACTAAATTTTTTAAATATGATGGAAGGACAATAGATCGGCGAGACTACCGTCTCGTTTATTAGCGCAGCTGTTTATGGAAATTTGGAATGAAAATACCATGTATGCATAGATGCTGACTACACAAAGTAAGATATTTTCTTACGTGAAGCGAGTTCAAGTTTTAGTCGTCTTATCTACACTTAATGAAAGTCTGGGTACTTTAGGTTGAAGAAAAAAGGAAAAGTTTTTCCTCTGCTGCAGAAAGATTTTTATTTTTGCGTAGTATGTATGTAAAGACTTATCGCTATCGGTGTATCCCAGATATGTAAATGATATTTACCGAAAGACATGTATATACATATGTATGGAAATCTAGATAAAAATCAGTTTAATGTGTGAAAGTGGATGTTTCCATTGACTGTAGAAATGGAATTATGCGAATAAAATATGTAGGATCATTTGAAGTTCAAAACTGTCTAAGTCATTTTATTTTTGACAGATAGTAAACTGAATCCTTTATTTCCATAGCCAAATAGTTATTAGGACGAGGTGCAGGCTTAGTTGCTATTTTGGTTGCTTGTATTGGCTGCCCCCGAACTTCATTGGAAGTGATTAGTTAAAAGGCCGTTCACACCAGGCGATTTTCGATTTCAACTAAAAGTTGCCTGTAAAATCGCCTCATGTGAATACCGTATTATTTTCAAGGCAGAAATACATTCGCAGGGTTGCCTTTTTTTTGATGTTTTTCGGAAAATGGGCCCGGGCCCAGCAGAATGGTTCTGCGCACTTCTAACCCACAGCGGCCGCCTACAATGGTACCGATACTGTCCAATATAGAATTGCACTAACTTTTTTAACAACTTTTTAAATTAATCGTATCTTTGAAATTTCAAAGTTCTTTTAAAAAATCCTTACATCAGAGAGAAAAAAATTAATTTGGCCAATATTTTTATGAGTCAATTGATTGTTTCGTGTGTTTTGAAATTTTTTGGTTTTTGTTGCACGCTGTTGTTAACTATCTTCGTAACTAGGAGCGATTATCTGTCAAAGTACTCCCTCGCAGAATAAGTTTATTTAAATGTTATCCAACTATTTAAGTTTACAGATAGGGAAAGTAGTTTTTAGAATTATTCAATAACTTTATATGGTATTTTTCGATTGATAAGACTGGCCACAAAAATTTTGCGGCAGAGTCAATAACAGCTGATTCTATAAATTTTTGTTCGCAATATCAGATTCTGACCTTAGAAATTTCAGATTGGCTGTAGTTTTTGAGATATTTTGACTTAAAGGTGTCAAAAAAAAAACGAGTTACTTATTAGCATACTTTGAACCGATATATTCTAAACACAGTGCATTATGGAATATTTTTAATAAAGCTTTAACCCTGTTCTTTTATCCCGAAGAATAAAAGACTTTATGGTAGTATTTATTTTTGAAAAGGTTTTTAAAATGCACATTTAAGCAAAAGGTCAAATATTTCCGCATAATTCTACTTAAAAATTTTTTAAATAACTAAGAAAATGTCTTGTTATAACTACTCGCTGTGTAAGTATATTTGTTTTAACTTAGTTTTTTAACTCATGTTTATAAAAGTCAAATCATTACCTCTTGTGCTAAAAGAGCAATGTTTAGCTTTATTTACTTCTTATTCAAAATATTCTACCAGTACCCGTTAGTCCATTGTAGAAGTCTAGCAAATGCCAAAAATTAGTATTTTGCCACTTAGTCAAAATATCACAAGAACTGGAGCCAATCTAATATTTCTAATTTCAGATTCTGACTCTACGGAAAAAATCATACAAGAAGCAGGGTTCCGTAAACATTTTTTTTTAATTCTGTTGGCCGGTGTTATTTAATAAGCATGTAATTTTATACTCTATTTCCGAAATGAGTGCATAAAAAAATTAAATAAAAGTCCAATGATTTAGCATATTTAAGGGCATATTTGGTTAATTTATATATATTTTTGGCAGCCCTAATTATGATATTTTTTTCTGAAATTTTTTTTCCATGGTTTAACGTGCTGATCAGGAGACTATCTAAAAGCTCAAACAGACGGCAGCGTTAATCCGGATTAACGCTGCCGCAGATTATGTTAATCCGGATTAACGCTGCCGTCTGTTTGAGCTTTAACCAATTCCAGCCGGGATTTAATTAGGATGGCATCAAGTGCCTCTAAGGCAGCTGGTTTAATTTGGTGTAAATTTCTTAATCTTTTTTGTTATATCCATAGGTAGTGCTTCTTGTACACATCGTCGCTACTTCGACCGGAAAGACATTATGGCCAGTATGCAGCTCTCAAGAAAAGTAAAAACTCCATACCTATAAAATGACGCCGGTCTTAAGAAATTCGCTACGTCTTCTACTAGGGGTTTCTAAAGTTTTTTAAAGCGAGAAAAAGAGCACAAGGCAACCCATGTTTGCAACAGAAATATATGCCCGTTCCATTATTTCTTGAGGAAAGGCAACAGGCTGTGAAGTATCAGATGACAAAATTTCTCGGACACACACACACGAAATAATGGCATTTTTTTCTTGGCCGTTTTCTTGAGAGCCGCATATGTACCAGCCTTTACAATGATACGGTTGCTTGGCATGTCAAATGCCTCAACACAGACGCCGTTGATAACTTTGTGTTGGATCCGTCAATGTACATACATAGATATAAATAGTCTTCAGATCCCGAACTACTTGAGTCTCAACAATTTTTGTTGAAGGCGAGCTTTAGCAGGCAGTAATCGGTTTTGTTGCTGATTTATGTACATATGTGTAGTGTAGCAAGTTACTGCTAGCAACGTAGGTTTGCCTTCTAACCTTTCATTTGCTCGACTCGTTCATATATGACACTACACTTAAAGCTCAGTTACAGATTCCAGATTAACGTTAGCCTGAAACTCGCTTTGAAATACTGCTCGTTCATTAGCAATAATTGAAACATGTATGCATGTATGTACGTACGTACCTACATATGTACATACAAATTTATGTATGCTAACTCATTATGCTGTGGCATGATTTGTGGAAAAACCATTAAGATACTCACAGATATTCCAGCTATTTAGCCAAATAATTATTCTACCATTCTAACTAATATAATCTGCAAAACTGCTTTAATTTGCATTAATTTTGTCTGGCGCCAGCCATCTGGCCATCCATCGAACGTCACAAAATTACCTCTCTCTTACTTTTTTTTGCATTCAGGCAAAAATAATTAACTACCTTCGTTTGTACCTGCACTGCAATGCATTCAGCTGTGAATCTTGAAAACTGGCGATGCGCGAATGTTCCTGAATTTTCATGTTTTAATGCACGTCTGCATATTTGTCCGTCTGAATACGTGCTTTTATCACCGAACCTTGATTTATATGTGTTAGACTAGTCGTAAATAACATTGTTCTTTTAAAGCGGAAAAATTACCTTTCGAAGTAGTAAATTAACGCGAACTTTTCAAAGGACATTCGCTTACTTACACACAGACGTACAAATACGTATTTGATGGTAGTTTTGTTTGGTTTTTCTTTAAGTTTACCAAAAATACCAACCCACACACACACACACACACACGTACATATGTACGCCGTATGTACTATCATCGCGTACTTACATCAAACACCGCATACTGCAGCAACACGCCCAGCGCTTCAATGCTTTTGTTTCGCTGCTCTTCCTGCAATTCCGTCTGTTCCAGGTGCCGTTCAATAGCCTCATAGTCCAGTCGACCATTACATGAATGGCGATTCAGATATTTCAAACGCTGCAGTTCAATAGCGTCTAGCCGCTCAGCAACTCCGCCACTCACAGCAACAGGTGCATCGTCCGCGGAGCGTTGTTGCTGATGTGATTTTTGTAGCAGCGTTTTACCACGGGTCGCCGCCAGCAGCTTCGATTGTGTTTTCTATGTGCAGAAAAGGAACATTGTAAGAAGCCATGGATAATGGATAATTTTTCTAAGAATCACCTTCCTACTCACTTTTTCCAGCAACGTTCCACCCACCGTAGCATTGGTGGCGGCAGCTGTCGCCGCCGTTGTCGTCTTCTTGCCATGGTGTCCTAAGATAGGCGATGGGGTTTGTGAATTTGTGCGCGTTTTTGTGGTTGTTGTTGTACCATTTGTAATTGTTGTGGTTGTGATACTGTTATTGTTATTGTGGTTGATTTCATGCAATTCCGTTGGCGTATCTGTGTGTTTGGCATTTTTGCTAGACGCACTGCCAATACCACGATTTTGATCTGCAAAACAAAAAAATAGAACAAGTTTAATGGCAGCGAAAATTAATGCGAATTTAAATGGTAGAAAACAAATAACGCTTTTATTACACAAAATACTTAAAAAGTCAATTTAAACGCATGTAAAATATAAAATACATATACATACATATGTATGTGTACGCATGTGGCAATTCTGATTTTTGAAGTTTAGTGTTTTGCAATTTAAAATGTATAATCAAATATTAGTTACAAAAAAACAGTCATTCGAAAATAGCCACATTTAATTTTTACAACAAATATACACCAAGAAAAAAGTAACATCCCTAACAAAGAAAAAAGTAACATCCCTACAGGAAATGGGACTAGTTTGTAGCTAACTATTAACTAACTACCATTCGACTAGTGGTAACTATTTATTAACTGTTTCCTTTGGCCGTAACTAACTACTTTTGAAGGGCGATGGCCGTCAAATAGTGAAACTGGTTTCCTATGCATTAGATGTCAACTAACTTGTAGCTAACTATGTAAATACTTTTGGACATAAAATATCAATAAAACAAAGCAAAAGATTTTTTTGTTTCGATCTGCCTTTCATTTGTCCTGAATACGAAAAAGAATCTGCGAAGTTCAGAAAAAAGTGTATTGAAAGTAATTTTTGTGAGGATATTTAAAAAAAAAAACTTGTAAAAAAAACAAACTCCCGATAACGTCTGCATGACTCTTGCACGACTTTAGAACTAACTAACTAATTTTTTTCTGCATGGTTTTATCGAACAGCGTCATTTTTGGTTTTTTATGTCAGCGATTCGAAATTTTTGAACAGAAAGTCCTTTTGAAACAAATTGAAACACAAGGTGTTGTCTATAAATTTTTATAGAGAATGAGTTCGGCCCGATAAAAAATTTCCAAACAACGCCGCTCTATTGATAGCAAAAACAAATTTGTGCAAATGTATCAGCCGCGTAATTAGGCTTGATTCAAAGCGAACCTTTGAAAGTATACTTACATACATGTTGTGCTTGTAGCTGAGTGCGTATAAATGCTTGCTACAGGGTTAAATCTCAGTGAGCGGAACATATAATTTTAACATTTTATTTTTGGGTTTTCTTAATTACGATAAAGCATCTGTGAAGTGCACAGCGAAATGGTGTTCAAACGAAAAAATCTCCAAAAGCAAGTCTGTTCAATGTAAAAAAAGCTTGTTTGACGCAAATTCATTTTCAGATTTTTTTCAACAAAATCATCATTCAGCTTTTGTTTGAAAGAAAGACGATATGGTTTATTTTATTTTTCTCAGTGTAGAAAAAAATATTGGCCTTTCTAGGACCTAGCCGCGCCTTGTTGAAAGTTTCCATCGGACGTTGTTGGTGACGAGTCTAAACCCTACGCCCACCTAAACCTGGAGACTTGGGGCTTTCTAATCAAAGCATAATTGTTGTCGATATTGTTTGTCTTTATCAGTTTGGTTTCGATAACTTTTACCATTATCGACATTGCTTTAGTTATGTATGAACTATACATAATATATGTTGTAGCAGCCCTAGTATTTAATTAGTATAGCGACATCTATGTTTGTGTTTTTGCTTATAGCGCCATCTGTACCTAAAGTTATCTATCTGTCATTTTTGTATTTCTGTCAAAAGTAGCATGTTGGTTTCAGAAGTTCAAGTGCCAAATCGTGCTATATAAGCACGTGTTATACGACAATTCGGTCATTAATCCATTTTTGGTGAAGGGGAAACATCACGGATTTTCTTCACGTAACTTCATCTTAAACTATACTGAGAGCTTCTGAAGCCCACTATACATGTGCGACTGACGGCGTTAAATCATCATATCGTTTTATCTGTACTTTGTTACTGCTTTTATTAAATAAATCCGTAAAACCCAACCAGAAATCGGTTTAATCATTTCTACAACTGGCGCCCAACTTAGTGGCCGAATTACTACGCGATCTTTAAATAGTGCATGCAACCAGTGCGACGAAGTTCTCGACTAGGAGGGATGTCGACAATAACAACAGAGCAATTTGAGCGATTGATGCAGGCGGTGACGACAGCCAACATGCGAATTGGGTCATTTAGCAACTGCACTGCACGCTACAGCGGGGAACGTAATACGTCGAAGGTGGAAGAATTTATCGCGGCGGTTTCAACGTTTAAAGTGGTGGAGAAGATTAGTGATGCGGATGCCATCACTGGTATGCCAATGCTGCTGGAAGGTGATGCCTCGGAATGGTGGCGGGGTGTGAAGGCAAATGCGGCAACTTTTTGTGATGTGGTACGAATGCTGCGGGAGGCTTTCTCGCCTCCAAGGCCTGCATGGCGAATTTATGCCGACATTTGCGAGGGAAAGCAGCAAAAACATGAAGCAACCGACAATTTTATTCGCAAGAAGAGAGCACTCTTCGCTCAGCTGTCCAGCCCACCAAAAGAAAGCGAGCAGATCGACATACTGTTTGGCATGTTGCATGTACAGGTGCGTGACAAAGTGGCGCGTCATAATATTGCCACATTTGATGACCTACTGCGAGATGCTCGGGAAGCGGAGTATGCTCTCGGCGAGCGTAGCGTAACGGTGAACACGAAAGCGGAGTCGATTAGTGGTCTAGTACGTTGTGCATTCTGTCGCAAAAAGGGTCACGCGGCGGAGTATTGCTACAAGCGCATTAAAGAAGAAACGCACAGACAAAATACTGCTGCGGCTGCTGAGGCTGTTGCTCAAGCAACGCAAGCTAAACCAAAGCTTTCCTGTTACGGCTGTAATGCGCCCGGTTATGTCCGCGCGAATTGTCCATCGTGCCGTGTGAAAAGCAAGCCTGAAGCGACCGTTGTTGGGTTTAACACAATCTCGTCCAACAATATGGGGAGTAATATACCGATTGTGAACGTCCAGCTGTTTGGAGTTCCGGGCCAAGCCTATTTTGACACGGGTGCGCGCACGAGTGTTGCTAGCGCGAATTTGAAGCGAATTATGGACTTTTACGGCTGTAAGTATAAAACAGTCAAGTGCGAAATTTCGCTGGCAGACGGAACCACATCTTCGCAACGGTGTCTGTCGACCGTCTGTAAAATGGTAATTGGAGGAAGATGTTTAAACATTCGCTTCATAATACTACCGGAGGCTACCAACAATCGCACATTGTTGGGTACAGACTTTTTGGAGGAGGTTGGAATCGTGCTAAATATGGGTCAACAGTTTTGGTATTACGAAAACTGCCCTAACGTTCATTTTGACTTCGCCGAAGCACTGCCGCAAAGCCACAATATAATAGAAAGCGTTAAGGTGGGCAAACGTAGCCCGTTCGATGTTATGCAGAGCGATTCGAAGCGATACCATAGCGAAGTGTACATGTCGGAGTTCGAAAGTTATGGACCAGAGCTGGAAGATGGCGACTATTCGCCGCACTCCATCCAAGCGATCTTCAAAGATGCGTTGCGACCAGACGAAACAACCCCTGACCGTAAGACCACGCGAGAATTATTTACAGGCCTAGTGTACGGAGGGAAGACCAGCGATAACGGGTTCACCCCGTTAAACTCGTTTGACCTGAAAATCCTAAAGACTACAGATGCAGCTAGTTTGTTAGAAGAAGAAAAGCTGGAACTAGACCGCCTCCTATGTGATCATGAGCCAATTACCTCTCCACCATACCGGTTGTCGTTTCCAAAAACCCGCGAACTTAAGGCGGAGATTGACAAGATGTTGGCGATGGGAGTGGTGGAAGAATGCGAGTCGGCGTGGACTTCACCGGTTGTTATGGTGCCGAAACGAGACGGTGGTGTGCGTATCTGTGCGGATTACCGGAAGTTGAACGCTATCACTGAACCTGATAGATATCCCTTGCCCAGAATGGATGACTTGCTACAAGCTGCGAAAAGTACGCGTTATATGACGACATTAGATCTGCAGCGTGGCTACTACCAAGTAAAGGTAGCTGCCAATGACCTCGATAAAACTTGCATAATAACTCCATTTGGACTCTTTCGTTTTACTAGAATGCCTTTTGGATTGCGAAATGCGCCGGCGACGTTCCAGCGACTGATGGACCGGCTGAAGAATTCTATGCCGGAGGTTCAAGTATGGGCGTATTTGGACGACCTCATTGTGTGTTCTGCCTCATTCCAAGAGCATTTAAACAATCTAAATACTATTTTCCAAAGATTGAATAAATTTAAACTGCGTGTCAATAGCACTAAATGTCGTTTCTGTTGTTCAGAAGTCAGGTATCTTGGGCATATTCTCACTCCTGTAGGTATTTGTGTGGATCCAGAGAAGATAAGCGCAATAGTCAAGCGTCGAGAACCAAGGAACGTCAAGGAATTGATATCGTTTATACAGACGTGCTCATGGTACAGGAGGTTTATCAATCATTATGCAGAGGCTGCAAAGCCTTTGACTGATCTTACTAAAAAGAACAAATCATGGACTTGGGAGGGTCCTCAACGCAAGGCCTTCCACAAACTCAAGGAGATGCTAACTTCGCCGCCTATATTGAAACAGGCGCAGGATGGTCCGCCATTCATTATCAAGACGGATGCCAGCGCATACGCACTCGGAGCAGTACTACTCCAGGGGGAGGGGAATGAAGAGCATCCCATCGAATATGCAAGCCGTTTGTTGACAAGCGCAGAGCGGAATTATTCCACTACTGAGCGCGAGGCCCTCGCTATCGTCTGGGCTTGT